TTTCAATAAGTCGCTACTGAAACTTTCGCTACTTTTTTTAAATTATTTGAATTTATTTGTAGGATACGGTGTAGTTTTTTTTGTATCGCTTGTTCGCCAAAGATCATGTATGTTTTTATTTGAATTTGGCGATCATGTCTATGCCTGCATTTGGCCAAACCAGTCTTCTATAACGAAATATTCTGCACGATTATATTTATACTGTAGAAATAGTGAAGACCACTTTCGGCGTGAAAACAATCCCTATTTTTTTTTTCACCAATTCGCTGTAGTCTTCAAACTTGAATGAAATAAACTCACACAACGTGATTTTGTATAGATTCAGACTTTATTGATATCAAGAAAAAGCCAACAAGTCTATTTTTGCAACGCGCGAGATAATTTTAATTCAAAACAAGGTTTCCTCCCAAGGACACCATATACGGTACTCGCAACAGTTATGTACATAGACACCTTTTCCCAATCTAACACCCCCACGTCCTGTCACCTTCTCAGTCATTTCCCCGCTCCCATCAATTCCCCCTAAATCTTCAGTTTTCGGAATCACCTGCGGCTGAAAATGGGGAGGATACGCGCCGTACATGTACGGAGGATATGGGTACCCTTGATCCATTCCGTACATTCGAGGATTCCTTGTCGCGCTGAAGAGCCTGGCGGTAATGTATTGTTGGGAACGGATGTTGCAGTGGTTGAATTTAGGGAAGAAGGGGTGGAGTTTGGGGCAGAGGAGGATGAGTGGTTGGGCCGTAGTTGCGCAGCGTTTATGTCGGGAAAAGGTGGAGGGTATGGGTAATGAGGATAGGGGTTGTGAGGATAAGAGGGTATCCGTGACCGTATGCAAAGTAATTATAGGGTTGGGGAGGGAGTTGTTGATATTTTTCTGGAATAGAAGGCTGAAGTGAAGTGAAAATGAAATGTTAGCGCGCAGATATCAATCTGATTGACGTTCTTACAGAATCTTTCGGGAAGTGTTGGAGGAACCAGTGGCATCGTCGCTACGATTTCTTTCTTTTTAGATGATGGTGGCTCAGAATCCTCGGAGTGACTTTCGCTTCTTGGTCTTGAGGTTTGGTTTTGCTTGGAGAAATTGATTGCGTGCGTTCAGGTGTATATCCGTTGTTGTGCTTGATGGATGTGCTGGAAGAATGGAGTGGCATTAGAATGATTTATATTAAACGTCGGGGCTCGATATAATTTGGTATAGCAACGCAAGTCGAATTCAAGGTCTCCATTAAGAAGTACAAAGGAGACGGATGAGAGGCGTGTTTATCATACCCATAGACTTATCCCGCAAATACTCTGGCAGCACAATCTTCCCTCCAGTTTCAGGGAGATGCCCAGATCGAAACATGCCTTTTAAGACAACATCGTCAAAGGCATCCTTTTCACCACCCTTCTTCATTCTCAAAACCTCGTTAATCTGACCTATGACGAATCTCAAGATAGTGCCGGGTGGGACTTTTTTCCTCCCTCTCCCAGAAAGCGGTGGTTCCACGGCCTTATCCAGAATCCAACTTGCAAGCTCCTCTGGAGTTTCGCCCCTAAACTTTTTAAATCCAGGTGACGGTTTTCCTCCAATGGGTTTTGTGCTGTGACTACAAAGACTCTGCCTGCCATTGCATAAATCATTCGATGCGGTTGAATGCCGTGATCCTCTGCTGCTTCCAGTATCACCGTTTTGCAGGTTTCTTAAACCGCTTGATGTCCCAGCGAGCTTCATCTGCTGTTGCGGAGCGGAGGTTAATCTGCCCAATGGAGCCGGCCATTGCTGAAGACGGAGCCGCAAGCTCTGCGCTGTTGTTGTCCGCATCCGACAGACTAATCAGAGGCAAGTAAGTTGGAACAACGGCTGGGCCAGGCCCATCATCTATGCCGTTCATAGTTTGTTGGAGTTTTTTTGCCGTTCCCCTTTACTTTTGCAGAGAAAATCTTTCCAGGGCCCTTCGGGTGTGTTCAAAGTGAATCGAGGTGGATACTCGGTAAAGTAGACAAGACCAATCAGTCCCCCTTATCCTCCTGAAGTCGACGGTTGGCCCAAAAAGTTTATTTATTTTGCAATTTTCTTTTTTGAGTCCTGGACGGGTGGGTTTCAGAGAGGTTTTGGTGTACCTCGTTGGTCAAACATGGGGTGCTTTTCGTTTTTGAGAATGAGGCTCCTGTGGTTTATACGAAAGTGATTGGTGAGCGGATACGCATTGAGAATTTCAAATCCAGATTCGCCATCTCAAAAATGAGCAACAACGAAACAAACACCCCACCGTTCTTCCATCCACCGATAATGATACATCGACTTAAACTATTCTACTCTCTTTCAGAGATCTTCTACCTCAGCACGGTATTGTGGAGAGGGTTGGTTACTGCTGCGGGTTGCCTTGTTGGCCCCGATCAACCTCAGGAGAATCGATCGGTTGGATGACGGAGGATCCGACCAAAAATCAGTGTGCTACCAACCTCTTTATTACACTAGTACAAACCTTCTTTTACCGACTCTCGAAATGAAATTTTGAATGTTTTTTTTTTGTTTGAACCAGGAAATCATCTTCAACGTGGGATCCGTCGATGCGTGGTGGTACCCTCGCCGCATATGGCACTCTTCCATAGTTACGAGATAACATTTGAAACAATGTTTGATCCTTTGCTGGGGCTGACGTTGGCGAGGCAAAGGAAAGTTGAAGAAAATGTGTCAATCCTTTTCTTGGGAGTGTTTTACTGCTGCTCGACCTCTAGCGAGACTTTCTGTGCCGTCAGCCCCCCAAATGATGGCCAACGGACAGGAACGGACTTTCTATCATTGAGTGGCACTTTTTGTGTCGTATGACTTTGAATATTGTTGATTGTATTGAGCCTGACCAGGAACTTATCCACCTGCAAAGCCCTTTAAATGATAGTACCGATGGAGGTCTCCCCGTCTTTGACTTTCTTCTTCCATCTTTTCACCACAATTGAGCTTCTTTAAGCTTTTTCTACATGTCGGAACAAGTGGATACTCAAAGAGGTCGTCGCTCCCAGGAGTCCTGATCACCCTTTTTGCAGCCTTTGGAGGAATTCTTTTCGGTTATTGATTCTGGTATGTCCCATCCATCTGCTGTATGATTTTAGTGTGATGTAGTTTTATAAAGCTCACAAAACATGGCTTTAGGTTCCATTGCTGGGGTTATCGCGATGCCTGCATGGCTGAGGCAATTCGGATCTTCAAACCCTGACGCGGCCGATGCCGTGAACAATCCATACGTTATCAAACAGAGATTAAAGCTCTTGGTCGTTTCCATCCTCGCCGTCGGGGAAGTTATCGGTGCGCTCCTTGGTTCTGTTGTAGCCGATCGATGTGGACGTAAATTGGGAGTGATTATAGCATCCGCTGTTTTCAGTGTGGGTGTTGCGATGCAGACAGGTGCATTTGAGATTGTACTCTTTGTGTTTGGGAAGATTGGGTTGCTGGACTCGGAGTGGGCATTTTGTCGACATTGGTACCCATGTATCAATCGGAATGCGCACCAAAGTGGATCCGAGGCGCTGTCATCACTTGCTATCAGTTTGCTATTACTGTTGGTATTCTCCTCGCTTCGATTGTCAACAACGCTACGCAAAACCGCCCCAATGCATCCGCATATCAGATACCCATTGGCATTCAACTTCTCCTGGCGTTCATCCTCGCGACAGGCATTATTGCACTTCCAGAGTCTCCAAGATGGTACGTTAAATGCGGAAAGACGGATATGGGCAATCAGATCTTTATGCCGTCTGAACGGGTCGACGCCTGACAATGTGCTGATCATGGAGGAGCTTAAGAATATTATGGCCCACCATGAGCGCGAGAAGGAACTTGGGGAGATGTCATACCGAGACTGCTTTAGGAATAACGACTCAAAGATTCTCAGAAGAACAATGACTGGAATCATCATTCAGGCTTGCCAACAGCTTACGGGTGTAAATTTTATATTCTACTATGGTTAGCAACCAATGGCATTCCTATTTTGACGAATTTATTTTATACTTACATGTTAATTAGGAACAACCTTCTTTAAAAGTACCGGCCTCGTCCAACCCTTCCTTCTCATCATTATCATCAGTCTCGTCAACGTTCTATCCACAATCCCCCGGTATGTTTGCCGTCGAGCGTATCGGTCGCCGCAATCTTCTCCTCATCGGAGCCGCCGGGATGGGTATCTGCGAGTTCACAGTTGCCATCGTCGGTGTTACGGCCGGAATCACCACCGCATCAACTTACGTCCTAATAATCTTTATCTGCATTTATATTTTCTTTTCGCCTCAACGTGGGGACCTATTGCGTGGATTATTACAGGTAATAATACTCTTTGAATCATTCCGTTTTTCCTTTCTCGTATATAACGTGACTTTTTGTCAGGTGAAGTATTTCCCCTCAACATTCGCGCTAAAGCCGTCTCCCTTTCGGTTGCCTCCAACTGGCTCTGGAACTTTATCATCGCCTTCATCACCCCCTACATGATCGACTCTGGTCCCGGAAACGCCAACCTTGGTGTCAAAGTCTTTTTCATCTGGGGTCAACGTGTATTGGTGGATTCATCTTTGCATATTTTCGTTTACGAAACAAGGGTCTCACCTTGAGCAAATTGATGACATGTATATCAACTGTACTGTGTTTGAGAGTCAGAAGATGAATAGACAATTGCTTGCTGGTGGTGGTGATGAGGAGAGGACTGTGAAAGATGATGAGCCGGAGGATAGATTTGTGGTTGCGCTTCATTAATGGCTTTTTTTTTGATAACTTTTTTCCGCTCTCTGCCGTTGTATCTGCTCACTCCATTGTTGATTGTCCTTTTGCTTCTTCCTGATAAGTATTTACCGCAAACAACTTTTACCGCAAAACAATTTTTTTTATCTACCCAGTGGATCTTTTGTTGAATGTCTTTGAAAGTTGTAGCATTCACATGCCATCGCACTGTATAAACGAGCTAGTAAAAATGAATCCAAAAATGATGTAAAATACGTTCAAGTGGACAAAGGTCCGTGCAAAAAAGCGATCCAGCCAGGGGTTGAACCTGGAGTCTCTCGGTGTCGTCTGTATCTTGCTAGTCTCGAAGCGAGGACAGCACAATCGAAGCCGAACGCGGTAACCATTTCGCCACTGGACCATGATGATAAAACTTCAGTATCTAAAATATAACGTTAAAACTTAAATTATTTTCTATCTTGGTAGTTGTTGTTGTTCGTGTTGTAGTGAGCTTTTCATGCTTCTTCCTCTTCTTCTTAACGATCCTGCTGGCGCAAGAAAGCCAATGAACGAAAAACAGATAACTTGGCTTATCATAATGAGCATAACAACGCGGATTTTAGTGGGTGATGAAATGTTGGTTGGCATTCAGGCAAGCCAATGGAGATAACAGAGTCAAACAAAGGAAAATCATGATATGATGATATTCCCATCTGATTGCTTCCTTGACATCACGTTACGGTGTAAGATGTTGGGATTAGCACATCTTTGTTATGTTAATCAAAGAAAAACAGAGAATGGCGCGTAAATCTAAATTTGAGGAGTCACCCACCATCGCGTTATTCTCACAACCAGAAATTGAAAAATATATCTTCCAACATCTTTCGCACACGTTTATCATAGTCCATCTTTAGTATCATCATAACATCAACTCATTCTCCCAAAAAATGGTTTCCTACCTTTCCATACTCTTGAATCCCCAAAATCCGCTTGGCTTCGAAGCCGTCATCAAAGTCCAGCTATGGCGGTCCTTCAAGCAAACCGCATAGACGCAGCGTACAGGTTTACGAGCAAGAAGGTAACGGTTGCTGAAGATCTAAAAGCTTACCTGGGTATAGATCCTCGTTGATGACGTGTGCCTGGGGAAGGACGTTGCAGATTCTACGAAAACATTTTCAGAGATCACCATACATAAGGACTATGCGGCCACATTTTCTGTCTCGACAGCGCTCAGTGTTTCTCAACCTCGTCCGGCGAATGTCCTCAAACAGGAGTTTCCTCGTTCTCGACTTCCTATATTCCCCAACACTACGCCTGGAAAGCAGCTTTAATAAGAGCTACTTCGCGATGTATAACTAATAGCATTTATGTTTAATTTAAAAGTACTAAAAAAATGTTTATTTAAAGAGTTTTGAGGAATGTTTCGATACATGAATATCTTAGCTTCAATTTTTTGCGTGCAAGTTTAGATATGATCCTTGACGAGAATTCACCGCAAACTCTAAAAACCGACAGCCATCAGACCTAAGCTTTCCTCTACATACTCTAGTTACATAGGAGTAAACTAAAAACATCCAAAATAAACATTAAGAGGCTTTTAATTCTATACGTTCTCAATGGGGCAACGCCTAATTGCAGGGGTGCACAAACCACAAGACAAACGTTCAAATGAAGAAAACGGGTAACGATCGCAAAGACACAAAAAGAAAAAGAAGAGGCATAAAAGTATAAAAAAGGACGATGAGGTAGAATATCTCCTTCAAAGGTTTGAAGGAAAGGAAGTTAACTAAAAAGAGGCTCAACAACAAAGATTGAAGTGGGAGGAGGAGGAGGGTTTCTAGAAACTTGTGGAAACCGACACATCCTTTTGCACGTAATCAATCTGACTCAAATACCCTTTATCAATCACAATCGTCAAAGTGTTCCTCAACTCCAACAAACTCTTCTCCCCAGAGAAGCTGTTTTCCCAAAAACTCATTGCAAAGACTGTCGTCTCTAGGGTCTTCCCTGTTATCGAACCCAGTGAGGATCGGGGGTGAGACGATGGATGAACGAGGGGGGATGGTGAATCCTTTCACAGGGGTGTCAATGAGAAGACATGCGATGCCTTTGTAGAGAGCTTGCCGGTGACTTTGACAATGGTGACGGGGACGTGGAAGGGGTTGTATGCGTGAGACTGGCTCGAGGGTGGCGAAAGCCGAGGTCGTTGGGGAGACCGGTGTCGGGGTAAGTGGCGGGGTAGTCGAGGGTGAGACCATTGGCGACAGCGTCCTGGAAGAAAAGTAAGTAAAAGAAAAGGGGCAGTGACAGGGACAACAATAACAGTGTGCAATGGGAGACTTACAATGATGAGTTTGTCCTGGTTCGCGGGTAACTTTTGCGGGATGCTGACAGCCTGCAGCGCAGCATCCAACAGCTCCAATCCCTCCGCCTTCCCGTTCCCAACCGTCACATCGGACACAACGCCCCCCGTGAACTGCGAAAACATCTTCTTGGTCGCCAACAATTGTGGCACGTTGGTAGGATCCGGGTGAACAAACGCCTTGGCCTTGAGGTTGTTGACGCCCTTCTCAAGTCTAAACTTTTCAAGCACAACAGTTCCAAGCTTCTGCTGGTCAAAGACAAAGTCCATCGTGATGTCGGCGTTGGCGTGGAGGACAATGTTGGAGGGGTTGGTGATGGCAAGGGGCACTTCAAGTTCAATCCCCTTGGTCGGGTTTGCAGACGTGATTTTGGGAATGTCGGTGATGACGGTGTCGCGGAGTCCACCGAGTCCAATGAGAGAGGTGGAGACAATGTCAAAGTTAATGTAACGGAGACAAACATCACCTCTGTCAAAGGGAGCCGGGAACTTGGCCTTGTTGTTGGCGACACCCTTCATGCGGACGGGGGTAGGTCCAGAGTTGAGGGTGATGAATTTTAAAAGTTGTTCCATGCCTTCCTTGCTGAGTGCCTTAAAGTCCTTCTCAACAATGTTAAGCCCAACAGTTCCCTCCTTGATGCTCCCCGTAGCCGTCTCGTAATCCGGGGTATCAATCTGCGCAATCAACGGACCGCCGGGAGCCCCGATAGCGATGGAAGCGCCTGCACCCGAAAAGGCAAAGTTGATGTATGAGAGCCATTCGGGAACACCGAGCTTGACGGAAACGTCGGTGGCGGTAGCTTTGGGGACGAGAGGGGAGTTGATGGGATCGAATTCGAGCTTGAAGTTGGGGAGGACAATGTTTTCAATAAGAGGGAGCGGCATGGGGAGTTTAAGACCGTCTTCTTTGCAGTCGCCGAGGCAGTAGGAACCGGGTTCGGAGCCTGAGCAAGGGGAGGAGGTGGATTCGACAGCGACATTGGGTTGGTTCTAAAAGTGTGTTGGTTGGAAAGTTGACGACGAAAGCAAAATGAAGTAAAACTTACATAGTCGATGACACTAGGGTAGCCGCCAATGTCGAGAGTGAGGGTGCTCTTGACATCAACTTTGACGTCACGTTTGCCGAGCGTGAGGATGACGAGTTCGGCACCACAGACAAAGGGGTCGACTTTACCGTCGAGTTTGACCTTGAATTGAGGACTGACGCCTTCACCCTTTGCTGGGAGCTTGAAGTTGTCAACCTTGACATTGGCAGCGATGCAGTCTTGCCTTTGTAGCTATAGATTTTGAATTACAGGTCAGCAGGTGTTTGAAAAAAGATGAACGATCGATGGTAAAGAAATAGATTACCTGAGGGTTGACTGAATGTTGGTGATAGAGACAGGGGTGTCAAACGGGTTAAAGGCACCAATGTTGGCCATCATCTCAATGGAAGAGTCGGCCTTGGAGCTGTAAGAAAGGCTTGAGACGTTTGCGTAGATTTCTAAGAAAAAAGATAGATGTGTAAGTTAATTAAAAGTCATCTAATAGGAAAAGAAAAGAAAAACTGACCTTAATGAGGAGCTCCTTGTTAGCAGGAAGCTTTGTGAAATGCTGACGGCCCCTAACGCGGCGTTAAGAACAGGCGCTTTTGCAGCTCTTCCGTTGTTTACAAGCACATCACTCTCCGTGTTTCCCGTAAACCTAGACATGAGGTCCTTGGTCGCAATAAGTGCCTTAATGTTGGATTTATCAGGGAAAATAACGATTTGGCGGCAAAGTTGTTTTCACCGAGCGCAAGCGACATGTTGGGAGGACAACGGTTCCACACTTTTCACCTTTGAAGACGAGGTCAAGCACAACATCCGATTTGAGGTTAAGGATAACGTTCGAAGGGTTTATGACCTTGAGGTCAATCAACAACTCGATACCAGTAGCTGGGGACCCTCCAACGATCTTTGGAAGCCCCATGATCGTGGCCTCCTTGAGTCCATTAAGACCGATAAGCTGAGATCCAGCCGTGAATCCAACGTACTCGAGACACACAGCAGGGTCGTCACCAGCAGAGGCTTCACCAGCGTTCCGGACCTTGGCGCTGTTTCCGGCGTGACCTTGGAGCTCGAGTTGGATGGGACCGCTAGCGAGGGTGATGGTTCTAAAGAGCTCTTGGAAACCGGCGTCGTTGAGAGCGCTGAAGGAGACTTGGTCCATGTCGAGTTGGACGTTGCCGCCGAGGGAGGTGCCGTTGGCGGCGACAAAGTCGGGGAGGTTGAGGAGACCAACCATGGGCCGCCGGGAGCGCCGACCTGTTATATGAAACGAATGACAAGAATACGAGTGTCAGTCATCTATGGTAAGGCATTTCATGCATGCTCAAGTGAGCCCACAACAGCCGTTACGCGAAGCAGAAAAGTAAATACCTGAATCCGAGCCTTAGCACCACTAAAGTCCAGATCAACCTTCTTCAACGACTCTGGCAACGACAACCCAACCTTGACGCCCTTACTGGAAGCCTTTGCGGCACCGGTAGCGGGGTCAAAATCAAGCTGAAAAGTGGGTCCAAGCTCGATACCATTGATGAGTTGAGGAGCGGTGACAAAGAAACCTGCACCCTTGCAGTTTGAGAGACAGATCTTTCCGTCTTGAGGGGATGTGCAGGTGGATTGGGCGGATGTTGCGATAGCTGATGCGCCTGCTAGAGCGTAGGCTAGCCTCAGGATAGAAGAGATCTTCATTTGAGACTGACGGTGGTGGTGGTGGTGGTGGTGGTGGTGATGGGGGTTGAGGGGGTGGATGAAGGGGATAAGAGGTTTTTGATAATAAAATATAAAATGGTAAACAGACAGTACAGTACAGTATGTACGGTATAGAGCACAAACAGCAAAGTGGAAGGAAGAGAATAAAAATAAAATAAAATAAAAATGCATAAAAGAAGGGCGTGTGAGGTCGCGTGAACAGCAAAAAGCTCAAAGCACAAGGCTCTCAAACAGGTTTGCATTGATGGTTACACAAATACCTTGAACACACCCACATCTCGTATCACCCTCATGTGCATGTGTAACCAGGGTTAAAGTGATGTT